ATTATGGAGAGTGTGAACAAAGGTGTGCAAGATTTATTCTCGTCCGGTGATTCAGCGAAGAAAGATGTTGAGAAGGTGGGTTATTCAACGTTTGAAGCGCTTGATTTATAACGCTAAAGCAATGAAATGTTGCTGGATCGCTATCGCGTTTGTTTTGTGTGAGTGATGAAATTAGGTGGTTTATGCGAGGTAATCATTTATTCGAGGTAATCATTTATTCGAGGTGATCATTTATTCGAGGTGATCATGTGTATCTAAATAACTTTATTTTTTCAGTTCTAAGCTTACCCTAATTGATACTGAAAAGCACATGCGAAAAGGCCCTTCTTAATACTTAAAAGACATATAAACAGACTTTTAATGACGCATCCAATGCTGTCTTCTCCGCCAGTTTGCATAATAAGCCCTTCATCCTCAATGCTGAACATAATTTTTCCAAGTTGAATTTGGTTCCACATTTGAGCACAACTAACAATAAGAATTTTCTGAAAATATTTTCCAGCCATAACTTCTCACTCTATTCGATGTTACATTTTAAGGCTTAAGATTCCATCCTCAGTGCCATTTATTTACGCGTAATTTCATGTTCAGACTGCTCAAGCTGCTGCCGATGAAGTTGGTGAAACATTTGAAAAGGTCAAAACAACCAGTCTGACAGCGGTAGGTGTTATGTGAATCTTTGCATATGAAATTTCACATTTTACTGAAATTTCACATTTACATTGTTTTTTTTTCGCTTGATTTTGTGTAAACCTCATTAGTATGTGTTCGGAACGATGTTTTTATGAGCAGTGAAACGATACAGATAACGATGTTGTTGTTTCGTGTGTGCATCGTTTCATTTTTGTTGCACTGCAAACCCTTGGAGAATGAACGAACTTAATGAAGCAGTAACAATGAGGCGGGGTGAGCACAACAGTCTGGCAGCTGTTTTCGTTATTTTTCGCTATTACAACAAAACAATTTCGACACTGAAAAGTTTCTCAGTGCAGTTGCTACGGAATACATCTGCAACTCAATGTGCACCATAACCGTTTTTATCCGTCCTAATTTGCCTATTCGTTACGGCAACCTGTTAACTACTTCAATTGTTACTGTTTTGTCTTGCCAAGAGAACTGCTTGAAAGTCTTTTTGGAATATGGTGCATATTCGATACTTCTAAACTTATAGCAAAATGTGCTGCTATTTGTTAAAAGTTGATACTTTTTCAATGGGAAAAAGTTGATGAAATTACCTAGTTTTTATTGTGCTTATCCACTGAATTCATTTGCTTGTCGGTGGTGTTTATTCCTAGTTGCATATTCTTTCCAAAGGGCTCCTCACCATTTTCAGCTGAAAATTTTGCGGTTTACGTGCGATTCCCGATTGTGAAGCATGCACGTAACTTCAGTGAAATCGGTCTCCTCACTTGATCGATCGTTGTCAACTGAGGTTATGAGTTCCTTGACGTTGTGTCAAAAAAAGCGGAAATTTGCAAGGAACTATTATTTTTGGAACATATAGTTCGAAATTGAAGTGTTCCATAAAAATTTGATAACGACAGTCAGTTGAAATTCGTAGAAAATGCATGAAGTACGATAAAGGATATAGAGGGGCTGCGATTTGGTATAAAATTGAAATCGACGGATTGTTGACGCAAATCGAGAATAGATAAGATGAGGAAGGGAATAATGGAACGATCGGATATGCTAATAAAGGAAATGAAAATAAGAAGGGTTTATAATTGAATATGAGATCGACGCAAGAAACGCGTTATTCTGCATTCAATTAGGAGAGCACATTCGAGGAAATGCGGTTCTCTCGGGAATTCATCCTCATAATCAGTGGTCGTCTAGCACTTTAATATCCTGTATCTGTATTGTGTGCTTGTTCCGAACAGTGTGCAATACAACCTATATAATATGTTGATAACTCTTCGTGAAATCTTTACATTGAAAATTACGATAATACGGCTCAGTCACTAATTACATGATGGTGTTAATGCTGGATGTTGTATTATTTCACATCTATTCCAATATATCCGCACTGGTATTGGATCTCATTGTTTATTAGGACTAGGTGATGTTACTACTGTGTTATCCTATCCATAGCGTTTATGTTTTCATATTTGTTTTGGTATTTGACTCTGCAAAAAGTGATTTTAGGAGATGTGGGAATTTGCGAATGAAAAGTATTTTAAGTATGATTTTGACATTAAAACTCTAATTTGAGTTTAGGGATAATTTCTGGTTATATGCAATACATATTCATAAATCTGTGCTTTGTTTATATTTGTGTATATTTATATAGGCACTTACGGTGACGTTGTTTATCTGCATATATGGGATGGTGTTTATTTATATAAAAGTAGAATGATTGCATTGACCTTATGACCTTTCCAATTGACCGGGACTGATTTTTATCATTACTGCTATCCCCTTCTCAAATGAAATGGGGAAGTGAAAAATAGAAACTATACGATGTTTATAATCAATTTTTGAAGCGATCTCATAAAAACAAAAGATTTTTTTAAAGAAAGTGGATAAGTTTCCATAGATTGACGATTCAGACAAGTCAATATTAATACTGGTTTTTTGGGCAGTTTAGCTGAATTCATTGTTCCGAATATTCCGGATATTCATTTGGATATTCTATCGAAGCTGCTCTAAAATTAATAACGTTTTTGAATTGCTCATTCACTTAAAAGAGTTATTCATTTAGGCGGAAGAGGTAAAATCACGATTACCCAAAATGGAGCAACCAGAAGTGGAACATCTTGAGAAGTAAGTTTTCAGTGCTTATTGATGAAATTTTTTATGCTTTTCGTTTTCACCGCATCCGGAAAATAGATTTTGGATGAATGTCGTCAGATTGTGTAATCGCCTTGTAAATCACCAATTCAATTTCACGAAAAAGAATTCATCAGCCATTTCATCAAGACCTTGTGAACTCTTACTATCAGTTGTTGCAGACATGAAGAGGTAAAGCAAGCCGTGAAACCTGACGAATCCGTATCTCCACCGTTACCACTTCATGAAGCTAAGGTCGGTGTTGATGATTCGTGAATCAGTTGTTTTTTCGCTCATTTCATCATCGCGATATGCCCACTTGCCGAAATTACTAGGCTGTTTGTTGATCTAATGTGATATCCTCGAGGTTCAAGAAAAAATTCGAGATCTTTTAGTAGTCAATCCAATAAGTCTCAAATTTCTATTCACATATTCTATTTCATTCCAAATTTCCACGACGACTGACAATCCAGTGTTGTTGCTTTATTTTGAAGCAATTTTAGTTGCAATTTAGTTCTCGACATTGCAAGTGATCCATTGAAAATGTTCATTTCCCATTTTCTTGACTTGGTTCTAAATATTCATTAGTCAGTTCATCTCCCTCCATAAGCTCGTCAACTTTAATTAACTGAAAGCGCTAGGAATCTTTTACGATCCCACTGCTACTGGGATTCGAATGTTGTTTTTTATTCAGTGGAATTCACTTGTTCTACCTGAATATTAGACATTATACTTCCATATATGATCACATAATATAAGTGACATGATATTTTCGCATTACTTTCATCAATTGAAACTAGAAGATTTCATCGTTTTAGGTAAATGTTCGTAACTTGTGTCATTCAACTATATTCTTATTCAGTTTCATCCTTACTTAACTCTTATTTTTTGAAGATTGAAGAGCGAACAGGTGAAGAGCAAATACCTCGAGAACCTATCGTGCATAAGGTGGGCTCAGCCTATTCTGCATTCAGTTTTTGTCTGTTACGTTCTGTTGACCTCACATTATTAGTGCGATTATTTTGTTTGTGGTTAAAATTAGTAAACTGTATTGATGACAACATTATTCGTAATTATAGCTGTTATTCATGAATGCCTTTTTATTCAATTGGACAGTTCTATTGTTTTGGAGCAATCAATAGCTGGAATGGGCCAAAACGAGAGTATTTATAAAACATGAACTTTTCGGTCTTTCTCAAAATTTTCACGAATTTGATTATTTCTGTTCTCGGCGCATGATTGGAAATATATTCCTTTCGATCTGTGTTTTTGATCGCAACAAAATGTTTTGTAATGTTGTTTATCCTTATGAAATGGTCATAATTGTTTTCACTGTTAGCGAAAAATTTTGAATTATGCGTGATACATACAATAAGGAGGAATGAATGACACAGTCAATGTAGCATAAGGGATGAGAAATGAGCGACTGATCAGATGAAAATTGCATTTATATCCATTGTCCGTACAGTTTGAAAATCAACGATCCACATCTTCGATGTTGCCTCACATATTTCCGATTATATCTAATCAAGCGACGGATCAAGAAACATCTCAAGCCATTCCAATCATATTCGAAGATCAACCAGCAGCGTCTAGTCAAACATCTACCGTAAAGGGGAGTACTGATGAATATCCCGTCATTAACACGGAACGCGGACCAGCGCAATCCATTCCAATCATATTCGAAGACGTACCGGTAAAATCTGGACCCAAAATTACGAAGCTCATTGCAAATGGCTCTGATGTGATCATATCAGATCGCGGTTCTGCACAAAGTATTCCGATTGTATTCGAAGACCCGTCAGCGACGTCTGATCCGAAAATCACCACTGTTGGTGCCAACGAGCTCATATCGACGAGTCGTGGTCCTGCACAAACTATTCCGATCGTATTCGAAGACGAATCCGCCTCAAATGAGTCAAAATCAAATGCGCAAGTAATTCCAGTACAGTTCGTTGATGACGACGCTCAAGTGATTCCTGTAGTGGTCGAATCAGCTCCGAAAAGACGAAAGCAAAAGCCCATCGAACCGCTGCATTCACGGACGATGCCTATGGCGCTTACGAATCCTTCGAAGGCGACTGAAGAAACTGGAGCTGACGAAGGTGAGCAATCGATTGAAGTTGTCGTTGAGAGTGATACGGATGACAGTGAATCACTGAGTCAATGTGACTACTGGTCAAAGCGACGTTTCTGTAAACGGAAATCGTCATTCGACGAATTCGCACCGTCGGCTTATTTGCAGCAAAAGATGAGCATGGATATTGGTGTGGTGAACACGGCAAATATGCCTGAGCAACTGATACCGCTGCATGAAGAGTTGAAGCAATTACAGTATCGCTACAAAACAGGGCATCGACGAGACAGTCACGATAGTCACACAACAACAACGTCAAATGACAGTGAAATGCTCATCGAAACCACGTATTTTGATGAACGACAGGAGGAAGGACAGACCGAAGACGCGGACGAAGAAAGAGTTGTTCAGCAGATTCAGGTTCATTTCGAAGACACTCCTCAGGGTCAAGGAACTATGAGGCCTGATAAACTCGTTGGATTAGCCACTGCCGACGGAACCGTTCAGTCGGATCATCTCGAGAATTCACCATCACAACCAAGTAACAGCAATGAAACACAACATCCAACAACACTTTCCTCGCAGCAGTCTTTGACGCCATTGGCTGAGCAACCGCAATCTGCTTATGGAACGGATACTTTTACTGCAACTCTTATTGAACGACGTCAACATTTCACCAAGAAAAGTTCAGCACCCCTTCACGAGAATTCGACTAAATCGAGTGAATGTTGGCTACGAAAGGTGATGAAGCCGAATGAATTAGGAGAAACTGATCGCGATGATTCGTACGTTAACGAGGATGAAGATAATGAATGCGATCATAGTCTCTTACCAGAATTAATTCCCGAAGAACCCGATACTCCTATTCCTGTGATTTTTGAGGAACACCAGCAAACATCGAATGGTGCCTCAATCGGTGGTCTTGTAGACGATTCGGAAACTGTTCTTCGAGCTCAGAAGCAGATTCGCGATGAATGGGTCAGTGAGAGTGTGTGTGTGTGTGCGTGTGTGTGTTTGAGCGTGGAGTGCGATTAGATGTAGAATATTAGAATACAAGCCGACAACACTGCATGCATGCTGTTCCAAGCTGAGCAATTTGAAAAAAACACTTTCAGAATACGAGAAATAGGGGAATTTCTTCAAAGTGACATTTGACTTATGATTTGATTTGATTTTGATTCTATTTCCACAGGAATCCACCATGTGTAGAAGAAAATTTATGACTGCATTTAAGTGTTTTGGTGGATGAAATCGCAAATCTTCTCGTTGAAGATAATTCAGCTGTTAGAACAGGCGATTTTGGGAGGTTCATAAGTACGGAGAAACATATTTTGATAAGACGAAAAAGTGGCTGAATCGGATTCTCATGTATAGGAGTTGTCGGTTGGAAGAAGCACGCTTTGTAGTGTAGTGCTAGCTAACGTATAGATGCCGATTTCATGATGGATTCTGCTTTTTAAATAACGCATGCAGTGGTGATATCAATTTATGATTTGCTTACAATTAGTTCATAGGGAGGTCATCTTAGTTGGTTACAATTTTATGAGGAGATCGGTTCAATTGAACGAATATCTTCTTAAGGTTTTCAGTGGACAAATACCTTATGAGGTTCAACTGCGTCAGTAAAATACTTATTAATAAGTTGTCTGCATAGATGTGATGCGATGCAATTAGCTCACAGCACGTTTAGTACAGTCTGCTGAAAAAAATGTCAGCTTGACGATTAGAATGAGTATGCAATAGATTTTTATGACTCTAGAAAATGCCGTTCAGTTCGTGTTTGCGTTATGAACTGTGAATTGCAATCAGATGAAATGCTCATCGTGGAGTTAACTTCTCAATCGGACCGTTACACCACATCCTGTGCTGCTTCGAACCGCTTTACTAACGAAAATGTTATTTTCGCCGCCCTGCAAACGATGCAAATTTGTATCGTCTAGTCGATGCTGTCGACAGTATTCTTGCTGTAAAATTTCTTGCGTTCTTTCAATATCTTTCTGTTGGTTTCTTTAAAGAGTGTCTGTCTATGTTCTTAGGTTCGTAGTATATTATTGTGGAGTTATCGATAATTTTACATCGCAGTAAATAGCGATTTGGATGTGCGTTTGTTTGTGTTCAAATTGATTATGTGCAGTTTTATATTGGACGAGAATTATATCCGTTGGCTATGATTTCTGTCCTTTGTGCTTAGTCGGTTGTTATTTTTTGAATTTTTGAATCTTTTCGAATATTCTGTTCTGTTTGGGTTCATCTCAAGTTGATCGCTACTCTGACGGGTTGTTCTTTCACCCCTCTCACCACCTGTAATGGACCGACACTCCTCTAATATCCCGAAATACCTTCGCATTTATCCTAACCAGTGTTAAATTCAAATATCATTTTGTTATGTTCCACTAATAGTTGCTGATATTTCTGCTAGTAACGTATCTAAACAAATGTCAATTTCAGGAAGAAGTCCCTGATAGTGAAACACAGGACGTATTGGATTCAGTGCAAGTACCGGCTGTTCGAGAGCAAGTTCCATCGACGATCGTTGAGTCTGTTCCCGAGAGTTTAATCAAATTCGACTCTGCACCACCACTTCATCAGAACGTCACTCCGTCGGCAACTGAAGAATCCAATTTGCAGCATGGCGTTGACGTTCTTAAAACTGACATCAAGTCCATGGTAAAAGAAGACACAAAGCACGAGGTCATTAGTGACTTCATTCATCAAATTATCGAATCATATAAATTCTGAAGTTATGTTCGAATGAAATATGAATCGTCTTTCATGAACACGTACAAAATCACGATGGTGCTGCAATATAAACTCAACCGATTTATTATTAAAGATGAATTTCTAATTCTGTTGTAGGAAAAACCTAGTGAAGAAGTGAAGCCAAGTGAAACGAAACCTGTGGAGCAAGTCGCGAAAGAAGTGCAGAAGAAGGAGGATGCATCTTCACCTTCTTCTGCCCTACCAAAAGCACCACCACCACCAGTGCCTCCAAAAACGAAATCAATTGATATGAGCACTAAAGAATTCGAAGAGAAAGTTTTGCACACCGAACCAAAAGACGTTCAAAAAGTTGCCGTTTCAAAGGTGATCTTACGCAGCTGCCATTCAATCGTCCCTCATGTTACCCGACCGAATCATAATAAAAAACCCAAACAATGCAGCATTCATCACTCAACCTAATCGCCTGCGCGCATTTCAGACCACTGAACCTCAACATCCTGCCGAACCCGAAAAGAAGCCCATTGAGCCTGTGAAAGCTGCTGTTGTGCATGAGCACGACAAGCCATCGAAAATTCCGAAACCAACGGCAGTTTCGCCGAAAGCCGAGAAGAGGCGAATAGAATCGAGCGCACCCGTCGTTACTCCGAAAGCTGAATCACCAAAGAAACCTGAAAGACCATCGAAGTAATCGCAGAAGCTTCACGTCTTAAATTTCGAAACTTTTGTCTTTTGTAAGATCTAGAGTAATTCAGCAGGAAACCGTTGAGTGCACAATGCTATATGTCTTTCTAGCTTGAAAATGAGAAAGCAAGGGAAGTCAGATTTTAAACAGTTTTCTCAGAAAATTCACTTCGTCCAATGAGTGCTCAGAAATTTTGTAGATGCGTGTTTCATTTAAACAATGATTTCGACTTGGCTACTTTAATATAACTCAAATTTCGTACTATAATTTAAATTTCGTACTCTTATACACCATTTCTAGTTCAATCAGTTGTCATTCAAGTTCACATTCCTCATGGGATTTTCATTTTCCAACTGAAATTTCTTTGAGAACATTTAGGTGATTTACTTCCCTGTTTTTGATAGCCTGGCCGATCTAGGTAAGTAATCCAGGTAACTTCCCTATTACCAGCGTTATTTGCAAAGTATCACGAAGCATCTTTCAGAGAAGAACAGCGTAAAGAGTTGATAAAGGAGGACACTTTCGAAAAACAAGAAGTCTCTCCGTTGTGCACGAAAACGTCGGCAACTACCACATCGCATGTTACGACAGTCACCACACCGGTTCCCTCAGAATCCGAAGCTAAGTCATCACCACCGAAGGCTGCTGATGAGTCGAAGAAGCCTTCGGTCACAGCAGCTACCGTTCAACCACCTGCACCCGCAAAATCAACTCCTTCAAAGGTAGAAGAACAAGAATCAGCACACGTACCACCCGCACGTGCACCACAACCAGCACAGCAACTAATCGCTCAACAACCTGAAATAACGGTTGTTGATGAAAAAGTTTCACAGCCTAAAACTGAACCAAAACAGCCTCAGCCAGGCGTAAAACCCGTAGAGAAGACTGCGGCCACTGAAGTCACTGCTGCAGCAGAATCTGTTGCCGTTGCTGCAGAACCAAAAAGCGCCGCCGCTACCACTGAAAATGTCGAAGAAGCAAATGATGAGGCAAGAAAACAAACAAAAAATTCGTTTTTTTGCTTGTGCAGTGGTGCTTCGGTTCTTTTTCTGGAAAGGAATCTGCGAATTTTGAGTGCATGATCCCAAGTGGTTGATGCTTTTTTGCTGAGAACGATCCCTTTGGCTTGTTCTATAGTGCGTTCCATGCAGGCATTCCAACGTTATCAAATAGCCCTCAAGTCTTGCAACAAGCAGCCCTCTGTGAGCTGTTGTCATCACATTAAAACTATCAAGCTTTGCCATTAGGCCGTAACCCCCAGCTGATGATGCTTATTTGAATGAATTTGTGTTATTTTCGGTCATTGCACAGAACTCAATTAATTCACTTTTCTTTTTATTTCAACTAATTAACTAACGTTTATGACGAAAAACAGAGCAACATGAACTCGATTAAGTTGAAGTTGTGGAGAGAGGGGATTAGATTTGTGCACATTCAATTGATTTACCGCAAAATTGAGTTCGTTATTCAAATAATATCGACCAATTTAAAAGAATTAGCCATTTGAAATTATGATGCAATTTCCTTGAATAATCGATTGCTCATAATGAAACTGAATGGACTAACCACCAAAAAAAAGCCTGATCAGATTAGTCGGATAAATTTCTAAATATTTGCTTTCAAAACGCTCAAATTGCAGTCAGCCGTTTTCAAGTTTTTAAACAATTTTTTTACTGAGTTCGTCTTTCATTACTTGAGTTTATCGTATGGAGCAATTCGGTTAGCTATATGTGCGCTTTCGTTCATAACCTCATATTTTTGTTTTTTTGGTCATGCATTCTTTTGGTTTTCAAGGGGCATTATTTTTCAAAGCTTGCTTTGTTTTCACCAGATTCACCTTCGTTTTGGGTACAGTTGTTTGGTGTTTGCAATATAGCAGTGGTTTGTTGTGCGTGGTAAACGGTGTTCTTGCTTATACTAATAACCGTAACTGACTGTAATGAAGCGAAAATTCTGTTTGTACTTATATTACGAACTACTTATAGTTATACTATTGTTATACTTATACTTATACTTACCTGCTCATATTTATCGGTCAGCAATTTTTTTTCACCCAATTACTATTGTTCCGACTGAAGTTATGTTTGGTTCGAGATTGTATGTTGAGAGGTATTTATTTACTGAACTTCGGGTATAATAGTTTACGTTTATTCCCAAGCTGCAGCTCCACGTTAGGATGCATGGTTACAATTGCTCTAGCTCGTATTATTTCACCTACGTAGCTTTTGTTTAGTCGCTTAATAAAGGAGCAAAAGAGCTTCAGGTTGCACTACTTACCCACACAAGTTGATCGTTTTCCCGCTGATCATTGTATTAATATTAAAATTTTAGTCGGGTACGATGAAAGCGAAGAGCGGTGAATCTACAAATGGCCAGCAACAACGGAAGAGGTGTACAATATTGTGAGAAGAAGACGTGAAATGAAGCGAAAGTCGAGTTGATAAAGAACCATACTAATATTTTCATTATTATTATATTATCGTGTTATTATTGAACGTTTGTTGTTATGTTTCATTTGAAAGCGATTTGTATTGAACACAATCAAAGTGCTAATGTGTATCAATTTTTGTTTCGTTGAAATTTTCTGTGAGCGTTATCTGATGAGCATCAATCATATCTAACGAGACAGAGCATTCTGAACGGATATTTCCAGTTGCTTCACATGTTTCGGCTTCAGAACATGCCCAGTTCACCGATTTACTCGTCACTCTATGTTGTTGTTGTTGTTTTCTTGTAAAGGCGATAGCTTTTGTAAATTTTGTTTAATTCCGTTTTCTTTACTCGGATAGATTCAATGAGGATTTTAAATGTAAGCGTTTTCTCTAATTGAACAATCGGTCAGTCAAATTATTCCGTTCGTGAATAAATTTTCTCCCATTCGCAAAGCGGTTCAGTTTACGCACGATATTGCATTGAAAATATGTTTTTCTGTTTGGAGATTTTCAAACTCACATCATATGTCGTGATAAATCCGAAAATTTGAACATTTCTTTATTTGAGTCATTTGAATGAATGGTCCTACCTTCCTCTCTAGCTTTTGATTTTTTAAAGTCAAATTGTTGAATTCAGTTTCCAATTATTCGTACCAAGCTCACGCATGCACGGTTAAGGGTATTTTCCATGTTTTCATTTAGATTCTTTCATCACTTCTGTAGAGATGCCGTGGCGAAATTTTTGTTTCAAAACCCAATAGGTCATTTGAAATGAATACAATGAATCTATTTTTGTTTTCATGAAATATTTCCAATTTTTCTCATCGAATGCTACGCCATTTCATGGATGCCCTGTTGGATTATAACATTTTCAAAATGGTTTTCTGTAAAAACAGAGGCTGGTGATTTCCGTAAATTATGAAGAGCATCTGCTCTGATTTCCTTTTTGATGGGCTTGAGTAGTTTCCTTAGCAGTCTACGATAATGCTCACGCCTCAGGTTTACTGATATTGATTTACTGGTAACAGAAATATTTGATAACGCAACTGAAAAACTTGCAGAAATGAAGCATTTGGGAGTTGAAAACACATTTCGAAACCTTTTAACATTTATATCTTCTCAATTGTAACGGCTATTTTTCGTGAACTCGAATGATGTGTTTTGTTCTGAGATTTCCTTTGAAGTCAATGTTCATATTTCAAAGCGTCTCATCAGTAGCTCATTTCGTTCTTCCATGAAACTATTTACAATTGCTTTGTGAAGCGTTTTCATATCGCCATAATACGTTCGCTATTCACTATTGATCGTTGATTCAGTGTATAATCTTTCAGTGAATTTTCATTGAATCTTTTAATAAACCTAAACTGGTAGATTTATGTTCTCACAATGAACTTTTCACTGACAAAAAACTATCAAACTTTATGGCTGGAAGGCGCTGGGAGGGGGGGGGGGGGGGGGGGGAGGGGAAACTCCGGCAAGAAGCAAAGTGAACATAAGAGGATCTGGACAAAAAGCCGGAGAGCAAACTACCAGAGATGGGGTTCGCACTGGATGAATTCGTAATTCGTCCAGGAGGAGAGACCCTAACCAAAGAGTCCAAGAGCAAAATCATCGCGTAACTGCCGGGGAAAGGGGTCCCCGACAGGCACTCCATTCCCCGACAAACCCTAGTCACACAACCGGTGAATCCCCGCTTCGGTTTCCAGTTCTCTTCTGATATAACACATACAAACAGTAAGAACGCTTGTTGGCCTCCCAAACCATCTAATCGTAAGGGGTGAATCGAACATCAAGCGTAAGAACCATTGTTTGAGAAGTAGTACCATTATCGAGCGCTCCTTATAGCTGTCCGAACAGCTCGTCCCTTATATTATCTGTCATTTTCTATTTTTGTCGAATGATATGATCACATTAAAATGATTACTCGTCGTCAGTTTTATTTCACTTCAGTTCGTTGCTCGGAAAACTTTCATTTCTTTCTGTTCAATAAGGACTGAACTCTTCATTTCCCCATTTAAAATTCGTATACTATTTACAACAAACAAAAGGTGATAAGAGTAAAACCAATTACAATACTGATCAATAAATAATATAAGAATGATACAATGTAAATAGTGTTAATGACAATAAAAAAAAGAAGAGAAAGAAATCATCAATAATATTACAACAAAAACATGATATGACTGATTTGAATACGTTCTTACATAGCCACACAAAGAATCTCTTTAAGACCGATTCATCAACCAGAACAATAATCAATTATGCCGTATTCTATGAAAACAATCAAAGCAATGCGATCTTTTTCATCAGAAAATTGAGGTTTTACTACATACTGTAAGGTGGAATCACAGTATAACGATTCATTTATGGATATCATACTCCTGAATAGAGTGAGAAGAAATAAACGTAGAGCAAGAACACGGGATACAATAGTAACGTTCTTTTCTCTTGTAACTCTTCAACGCATAACAACGTCCCAGCACTGTACACTGACCAAAACACACCGAAGCAACCCAGACCAATTGTTAACATTCGAAACCTGAGATAGTTTCAAAAAAGTATAAAATTATCGGGCATGTTGCAGATCACAATAGAAATCAATCGTTTTTGTAACTTATTGGAACGGTTAAAAAAAGATTATTCTGAGCCCATCTGAGTAATCAGTAATCGTGAGCACTGCTGGGTTCGGGGTTTGCATTTAATCGAAATGATATCAGTATAAGGAAATTTAAAATGAGAAAATAAGATAATAAAAGATTTGTGCAGCCAATTTATTAAAACTTGACTGGTGAAAATAAGTTCCATTTGAATACAGATTCAATGATTACCTTGAAATAATCGGGATAAACAATCCAACCGTGACCAACGGTATTAAGCAATAACCAACCACACCAAGCACCTGACTGTAACTGACCTCACCACCGAGGGCTCGAGCCAAAAAGAACACAAAAAAGGAGCCCGCAAACCAAATTGTCAAAATCCATGATATCACCTCAAATATTTTTATCACTTGACTTCGATGCAGAGCGATCGACTAATTCAATGCCTCGAAGAGAACAAGTTTAAAACTCACACTGAATTGCCCGTAAATCGATAGTAACGCGTACGCCATGACGACCAATAACGGACCCCAGAAATCGGGCGATTCCCTCACAATACTTAATTTAAGTCGGAAGTACGGTAACGGTAAAAGCACACATCTCACTTTATAGTAAATATCGGTGAGGTCGATATCCAACTCTTCCCTGTAAGTCAGAAAATAATTCCATCAGATTATTTTCAACAACTGATTTTTCAAAACTTTTCCAATTGTTTTTTTCCACAATTATTCAATAATTATTATTCTCAACACTGACCCCAAAACATTCAACAGAACAGTTTCCTGACACGTGTAAGTGACCTTACGTTAATAGAGTACGGATACGTAAATAGATTTGGTCATTTCGAAGCATCAATTCCGATAAATTCAGATCCCAGAAGAGGTAAAATGCGCACAACTCACAAAAGTGGTTTCTGTTCTACTTCATCATCATCCACCTCTAGCAGCCACCCGAACCCACGATTTTCCAGAAATTTTGCAGCAGGTCCTCCGCCGCTCAATTTGCGAAAGTGATGGGCCCCTTTTCCATTATACGATACTGACGACATATTTCCACTCAAATCATAACCTTGAAGGTAAGAAATACGATAATTCCAACAGAAGGATTACATTCAAATGTTTCATAGATAGTAGTGCTTGTAAAATGCCGGCATTTTTCAGTCCTGGGATTAAAGGATCACCACAAACGGGAGAGAAGGCGATGGTAATGATGAAAAACGAAACATCACGAAATTTTTCTTACTGCTTTCTGAAAAAGAAATACCAAACGGTGCTATTATACAGTGATTTATGCACTTACCGCTGCTTAAATATTAAACAACAAATATCACTGAGTATGAATGAATTGGCAGTGAGGGTGATTGTTGAATAATCTGAGATAAGAATGTCAAAATTTTAAAATTACTGTTTCATCAAATGGCGAAACCCTTGATTGGAATCCCATGCGAACACCAGTAACAGGCCCAACAATCACAAAATAATTCTTCATTCATTGAATAAAAGGTTACAAGGATTATACGAAACGTGCACTTTCTAACATGAAAAATGGGCAACAACTTAAGCTGACAATGAGAAACATTACCTTGTTGAGCGGAGGGCGAATATTGTTGTGAAGAGTCATAAAATCCAAGATTTTCGACGCCTCCTAAGGTTTCCACATTCACTGCATCGCCCAAATCAATGGCCGTTTGATCGGGCATTCGATATGCTGGCGGAGGATCCATAATAACAACACAATGAGCAACTAAAATATCACAGTCATAAAATCAGTCAAATATCAATTGATTCTGATTGAACGCATAGCGACGGGAAACAAAAAAGTAGCACGGATCGTAGAATACGAAGAAACATCACATCACAGAACCGGATTACTCGACACCAACTACATCTCACAGACTTGACATTCTCTAAACGAGCATTATTAGAGTTATTTGCTCCGTCAATCCGTGCCAGCTCTTCCAATGGAAAAATTCGTACTCTTAAATTCTAATTCAACGACACACTTCATCATTGCCGTTGCAAAGGCATTGCTTATTTGGATGACCAGCCCTGTTGCCACCGAACGTTTTGCAACACTGTCTACCAGAGAACATTACGGTAGAAAGAGATCGGTCGTTTCATTAACATCGCCGATCGTATTAAGATTCTGGGGCTGTCAAGAGTAAAACTAAATGAGACACATATGGCATGCATTGTATGGGATCAAAATCCCTATCAAAATCCGTTCTCAGTTTCCAAAAAAACAGAAACATTTTCAAGAAGTGCTACTCGAAATAAGTAAGGTCGGATCGGTGCATATGTCACAGCAGTTACGGTACAATGGAACACGAGTGTTGATGAATTCAAGTTCTCATAGACTGAAATCTGAAGACGCATTCTCATAGAGATTTCAATTTTCTACGAAACTTATATTTTCAATCGAGTCAAAACTCGTTCCAGTACGCCTTAATGATGTTCTCAAGGACATAGTCACAGCGTTATTGTAGCGGATTTTCTTCGATAGCAGGTTAGATAACAGTCAGTTTAGTGTCTTGTGTGGCATAAGATGAACGTATCGTCTATTTACGCATAGCCAATGCCAACGTTCGCACATTCGATTTACGTTCTTGAATTTATTCTATGCGATAGTGATGATTATGCATATGCATTTTGCATGTGCCTGAAAGTGTTCCAAAGGGCGTTTCCGTTGAAGTCTGCAAGCTGAACATTTTTCCAGTGAGGCATTAACTGGTGCAAAATCGAAGTGATCTGCCTTTGCTTTCTAATGTCTTGCTCGAAGTGGTCTGAATAGTCAGATGGGTAGTTGATATCAACTAAAGCTAATGACAAACTCAGAACTATGACTTTCTCTCGAAGACCGTAGACATCAATTAATGCAGAAGAAAGCTGACATCATGCACTGTATGGCTCACTTTCTTCTAGTGGGAAAGTGGAAACGTCTGGTGAAATCTCGTTCTGAATTAAATAGACTACGGTATACGAGTGCGAACACTTGTGGCATCACTCAGCTGTTGCAAACGTATTCCGCATTTCCACGTGTTATTCGCTAGCTGTATATCTGAGAAGTGATGTTATGCAAGTGTTCGGATGGAACTTCAGGATCTAACTTTTTTTTTGATGGATCAAGAACGGTGTTTAGCATTGGCTTCGAGATCAATCGCTTCAGTTCATCAAATAGTCACTGACTGGAAAGTATTTTCAGAGAGATGAATCTTTCTTTAGTGGGTGTTCTGTTGGGCATATTTGTGGAATGTGCATGGTCTCTTCGTTTCTTCGTACCTCCAAATGGAAAGAAATGTGTTAAAGAGGAGATTCATAAGAATGTGGTGGTGACTGGTGAATACGAACTCAGCGAAGGTAACGGATACACAAGTAGCGTTCATGTTAGTTTCTGTGCAAATTTGAAGACTTAAAAATAAACTGACATAACATTTGTCTACAATTGTCCCGAAAACAATAAGTTTAAGTGGTATATTCCAGCGGCCACCAGAATCACTGACATTATTATGTGTGTTCGAGCACACGATTGATTTCCGTGTTACGTATTTTTGACCATAATAATAAGCAGTCTCTTTGTTATGAGATCGCTGACGGTCCAGTGATCTCTGTTTTTGATTGAACCAAACAAACGTCATGGAAACATGTTCAGGACCATCACATTATAACCTGTAAAGTGGAAGGTTTTATCATTGCCATTTTCTGTTATTCCCTGCATGTAAAAGTTGATTTTCAAGGTGTCCGACTCGCGAGGTCATACACTGTATAATCGAGAGCATTTCGCCGAGATTAAAGGCAAATTTGCTTTTACGGCTGATGAGTACGATATTTTTGAGATTTGCTTCACCACACATGTGCCACCTGGTTAGCTGATTTATACGAAACTTGTTATTGTTGTGCTGATTCATGAATTCTACTTGCTTTTTCATAGAGATCATTTAATATTTCATGAATTTCTCTTACGATAAAACCAAGAGACTGCCACTGTCATGATTGTGCAGCTGTTCGATATTGTTTTGCGGTCATTTATTGAATATTTAAGGTCAACGTGGTCAGCAGCGTGAAGTGATGCTGAAGATGAAACGTGGTATAGAAGCGAAGAACTACGAAGCACTTGCCAAGACTGAGCAGTTGAAACCTTTGGAGATCGAATTGAGAAGGCAATTACTATTTATTGCGAACATTTCTCTGGGAACTTTTATTGGTTGTTGAGGGATGAACGGAGCCAATTGTTCATAACTGAATGATTTCTGTAACTTTGAATTATTTTCTTTTTTACTTCAGATTGGAGGATCTCTCAGAGTCGATTGTTCAAGATTTTGCATATATGCGGCAACGAGAAGAGGAGATGCGGAATACAAACGGTAATCAGAGTTTTTATCATCGTTGTTATTTATACTTGCGTCGAGTCACCCAGATCGATCACAATTCATTTCTTCAAGCTTCAGCAGAAATCAAGTCTGCTGTTTGCTATTTGTGGAAAATTTTGTAATGTTTCTCCCATCACACGTCTATTTCAGTTATTTCTTGGTGGAATGTAGATTTTTTAACTGCTTTCGTGAGAGACGGACAGTTTTGAGTTCAATTTTTTTCTTGATGTGAACGTTATGGAATTGATTTCAGAATCGACGAACAGCCGTGTGTTGTATTTGAGTATTTTCTCGATGATGTGCCTTCTGGGACTTGCTGCATGGCAGGTGCTTTACTTACGTCGATATTTCAAAGCGAAGAAGTTGATCGACTGAATTTAACTTCGGATTCATTTGATTTGATTTGTTGCCTTTCAAAAACAATTTTTGCTAGTTCGTTCATAAAGGTTATTGAAATTTTGTGTGTAGCTCTTAAGTTGGTCTCGAACGCTTATGAGTTTTGGAGAAGTTGTTTTCGGAATTCCGTGGAAAAAATTTTTTTGAAGAATTTCGGTGTGAGTGTTACTTCTTATTGTTTGGAATGTTTGATTTAAAAATATTTCGATGGATTTTGAGGTTATTCAAAATAATCCTTAAATCTTGCAGTCATCTTAGTATTTCTTTTTCAGTCCTAAAATTTCATTATCGTTATTCGTCCTTTCTTCATGTATGAATCAGCTTAGGTGTCGCACGACATCTTTAATTCAAATTTCTTTTCTTGGGTATTTTTTCTAATAAAACATCTGTTTTCTTCATTTTCAAATGGTTTTTCCTTTGCACATTTATTTTCCTTCCCAAGTTACATTCAGCTCTCGTTTGTGCCGCTATGTGATAGTAGTCGTTTTTCGTTTCTGTGTGGTTTAATACTTTGTTTGTGTGGAGTTGAATAGATAGGAGATACATTTATTATTATAAATTATTTGAGCATTATTCAAATTCTCTGAAGTATCATGAGAATTTTAAAACTGTTTGGAATTTGTTTGCCTCATTCTGGAATGGATGTTTATTAATACTGATAATATTTGGAGTTGTTTTTTTNTTTTTTTAACGTTTCGGTTGTTTGTGCTGCTGTTTCTGCTGTTAATTGATGTGCGGTTGAGTGTTACGTGAATAATAATAAAAACGAAAGAGCAATTTGCTTGAGAAATGATGAAAATTGTTATGATTGATCAATAATGATTAGATATGAGACCTGCTCACGAAGACTGTTGCTGTTCTTTAACACATCTTCCGAAAATTTCACTGCGATTGATTGTAACCGAATTCATTGAGTCGCTTCGTTGCATTTTCGTTTTTCCGAGTAGTCAACCTTACTCGATTGCATCGAAATCTTGTCTCGTTGAGATTATTTTGTTCAGTAATACATTCATTTGTTGAGTCGTTTGTTCGATTGATTTGTTTTTGTTCATTTGATTTGATTTTATTTGTTATTTGTCTTCATTGATTGTTTCGTTTTGGAAATTTATTAAAGTGATTAAAACACTTTTGATAGTCTTCAAATTGTCTTTTCAAAAAGAATGTGCAAATCGATACTGATTTAGAGGTAACGTAGTATAAAATAAGAAACGTTTTGATGAGGTTCTTTGAGTGATTTGTAGCAAGAATCTTGTTGTAGCTAGATTCCTCATCGACTGGGATTCTCAAAATCATTCAATAGTATTAAACCACTTCGAATTTTTGCTAGATTGGTGTTATTTTGTTGGAGTCGAAGAATCACTGGAAATGATCAGTAAGGCGATTTGTGTAAAGTGAGATGAATTCAGCATGACTTTTCAAAAAGTCATTGTGTTCGATGATGCTTTGCATTGGGAAAATCGGTTCTTGTCAAAGAATTTTGGCCTGATTACTCATTTGTCAGAGTATTTCAGAATGCTCCAGTTGTTTTACCATTTTCGCCGTATATTCATTGATAGTCGCATGCATTATCAGTCATTCATCTGCTAGTGTGAAATTGAATAATAAATTTAGGCGATCCATTTTTTCATGTTTGTTCAATATTTTATTCCAATGTAATTGTTGATGTTTTTGAATTGATTCACTCAAATTCATTGTTTTCAGCGGTAAGTTGTTCACTTTTTGTTTATTAGTTGTTGATTCGTAATAATGTTTATTGAATTTGAATAATAAATTCATCGATTTTAGCTTAGTTACTGTGGTAATGCTTTTTTTGCGATAACTAGGTTGAATACCTTGAATTGTTGCCTATCTCCAAATGTGCAAAATGCATTAATTTCAATGATTTGTTCTTTTTTGACTTGTTCAATGTTCAATTTTTGATCCATTTTATGCAGTCATCTGCTGGAGTGTATGATTGGAAACATTCGAATGATAAATAAATCATTTGAAATCGCTTTGTGCTCAGTTGTTGCTCCGACTTAACTGTGGGGAAAGTTATGGTGAAGAGAGTACTTGAACAATTGTGAAGAGCAGAGCCAAACGAGTGTGTATCGGTTCGAAGATGCATTCAAAATGCAATGGTTATGATTCGTCAATGACAGTTTATTGTGGAATGTACTAGATAGCGTTCGAGTTCTCCAAACATCATTCATTACACCTTCAGTGTTAGCTCCAAACAAACCAAATAAAAACATTGATGAGGCATATTTCAATTCAAATGCCGTCGCTTTGTAATCGAGCTTGCTGATGATCCGAACCACTGATGTATTAATGACTTGCAATGTATGGTTTCAGTCATGATTGAAGCATACTGAGGGTATTTTTCCGAGAGAGTATGGGCTTTGGCAATGATGGCATGTTCTTCGTCACTGTTGATGTTCAAATTGGAAAATACGGAGTCACGAAATCCACTTGAATGCTTAATTTGTGATCGAGTATGGTTATTGCCTTTTTCTTGTCCTCATTTTGTTCGGTATCAATTGAAAAAAGTGTTTCTGATTAGAGCATATGGAGGATAAGACAATGAATTAAGTGTTGTTTGCATTAAAGGAATTCACAGAGCCAATCCGTCTACCGTGTCAACACAGCTATTGTCGAGAGTGTGTTCAGGGTCGATCCACATGCCCGGTTTGCGGCGCTAACTTTGAAGGCGAACCTGCCGCAGATTCACTGCTCTCATTCCTTATCGAGACCAGTCATGAAGCGGCTGATGTTTGTGCCAATTGTGATAAGGTCGTTGGATCGCTTGTTTCATGACTTTGAACAAACCAGTTTTACATTTCAATGGAAATATTCACCCATTTGAGCTGATTTTTGCTTTTGAGATACATTGCCGATGAGCATTATCCGTTCATTTTGAAGAGGTTCAAATTAATTTCAGATCTCTCAGCCGATGCACTTCTGTGAGACATGCCAACAGGCGTTATGTAATAGTTGCAGACAAAACACTCATCAAGTAACTTTGCTTCTTCGCCTTTGGTTGATAAACTTTCCTCCCGAAAAATCGCTCTGTTACTATCTGCATCGTGATAACAGTCATTCTATTTGAGTGATTATTTCCTTGACGTTTCAGAATCGATAGCCACATGCTGAAATAGTTGACCCCTTGAGTTAGTGTACGCTGCAGATAATGAATCTTAGGTTACGAAATGTTTTTGCAGGCCAAAATGTTTGCTGCACATCGCCTAGTATTACTGGAAGAGAGGGCACGGGTCAAAGGACGTATCACATGCCCTCTGCACGGAGAACCGTACATACTCTACTCGGTTGAGAATCGCTCTCTAGCTTGCATTGTTTGCTTCAATAATGCGAATCTTGATACAAGGTTGTAGTTAGAGTTTGCAACATATCGACCATTTTCTCAATACCGAGATCGGTATTAATACCGGTCTGGTTTTTCAATATCGATACGATACGGGTATTGAAAAGCAACTTTTGCAGTATAGAAATGTGACTTGTTCAGCACATTCTTTTTGAGCCAATGTTATTCAGAAAAAATTTATTTAACAAATCACTCACCAAAGCTCAAGAAATTCAGCAAAAAACAAAAAAATATTATGGAAATGATCTCACTACGCTTCCTTTCACTCACTGCCCTATAAGCGATGTTGAAGATATTTAATAGAAGAAACAATACTTTGAACAAAATTCATTGACACTTGAAAGACACTGTCAGAAATTTGAGAATCATCGAAACAATTGAAAGAAGCACGCAATGTGATGACAAGAAATGCATGCATGAATGATTGAATGACAACAGATTACGGCCGCAAAACTCATTGTCTCTTGAAAAATCTGTCAGAAAGTTATGATTCATGCTCCATGGATATACTACCAAATTCACTTAGAATGACTTGTGGTATGAATACCGTGAATATCGACACCACAAATCCCGAGATCGGTATCGCTTTTCTAATAGCGGTATTCGGTATTACCAAGATCTCGTGCGAACACCAGTTGTAATATCGGTTTTGTTAAGTCTGTGATGGATATGACTCCATCTTCATTCGATTCAATCACTTTTTCAAAGCCTTACTCAGCTAACTAGCAAATATTTTATACTGGAACTGTTATAAAAAGTGTGAAAAACCCCTTACGCCTTCAGCATTTTGACTCAATTGAAAATTCAGACATCATCTGATGCATATCGACGCTGCACACAAACTCGGTTGCGATAAACTTGAGAAAGCGACCACAAAATTACGGACTTTTCAGGTATGACATACATATCTCTGTCGCTTCTCGACATTTTGCTTGGAACTAACTCATTCACTTTTTTCAATAATGCAACTATTGACACCGGTGTAATTCGTGTTGATATCAGTGTTGAGTCTGATGCATACTGCGATGGATATGACTCCATCTTCATTCGAATAAACCACTTTTTCAAAGTTTTAACCAGCTAACTGATAAAATAGGATCCTTTTCCTGAAATGAATACGAAGTTACAATGCTCTAGCTATTAGTTGGTATTCGATTGGAATGTTTGTTTGGAACTGGAACAATGATGCTTGAAAAATTTTATTCCAACTAACTGAATTTCTACTAAGTGGTTCACAAAAACCCACTGTTACTTGCTACTCTTGATTTCATGTCAACTTAAAGGCAAAACTTTATGACTCAAATATGAGTTTGTACCATTCATTTTGATTGAAGGATGATATTCGTGAACAACTCCAACTCCGAAAGAGACTCGCATCGGAACTGTCCGAAAGTTATCGAAATGCAGGTGATAGGTGAGATTCATTGAAAGTTACCATTGACTCATCACATCGCATCATATGTCTAATCTACTATTCCATCTGTCCACGTCCACTTCATATCCTTTTGCTATCCATCATCTCCACCCAAAAAGTTTCGAATTATCTTCGCTGCTTACTATAGTTAGAGATTATCGTCTTCAGGTAACTTATCAAAAATAATGCTTTCGCCTTTCTCTTCATTCGAAGCGTTGGTGTTGGTGTAAGAGAGATTAAAGAGAATAAATTGTTGATCAAGAAGAAGCGGTTTTTCCTAGTGAATGTTTATAGTTTACGACAAACTTGTCAACAAATGATCGATACGTTGCTATCGGTTCGTGATCGTTTAGTGAAGAAATTGGACGAGGAGAAGATGAAACGTGATCAACATTTTGCAGAACAAGTGCGACAGTTGACTGCACTACAGGTGCGTAACTTAATAATTCAGTTGTTCGTTATTCATTATCCTTTCATTAAAACAGCATTTGTGGTCTAATGATAACGTTTATCGTCGGAACATCGATGACCTGATCATTATATCAATGCATAAAATTTGATTTGAACAGTAACATTATCTAACCGAATGGATAACTTTTCGTTTTGGAGTGATGTTTCCAAATATTCTTCCACAACAAAAGTTTCAAAAAACCGAAAATCATTGGTCAATGTAATTTCAAAAACACGATCGGATACTGATTATGACTTGTTATTGCAGCCTTTAATACGTCTCTATCTGTTGAGCGCATCGATTTTCTGCTCATCTGCATCCAAATTGGATTTTTTGCAGTCATCAAATGATTTGTTGAAAAGAATTCAGGTTAGAAATTACATTCACTTATTCTCAAATGGAGCAAAGAACAGCAAATGAATGAAGAGAGCAAATACTCAGAACTAATCTTATTGTTAATACTTATACACTGTTCAGTGTTTGTTGTCAATGGAATGTGATAAGCCGCAATATACGGGTGAATTAGCGATTGATGGTCGTGAAGAGTTTGGTCGTGCTCTCGAACCATTTCTTGGCCTTACGTCGATCTTGCTCAGTGGCACTGATGGTGATACTGAGACAGTCGGTAGTGTATCGCCGAGGGCGATTATCAGTCATCGTGCCTACGTGAAGCGATCCGGGTTATTATTAATTGAGTATTCATATTGTATGGCTCCTCGAAGCATTCAAAAATGGTGCTCGATGGGTTCAATTCATATCAGTTTCACGAGCGATTCCATCTGGTTTCAAACAATTCATATATACAATATAAGCTAAGAGATCAGCATTATTTCAGGTCAGGATATACGAGCGCTTACACGGGAACGTTAGCCACCAAATATCAACTGGTCGTTGATTTGGCCGGTGCATTCGGCGAGCAGTTCGCTAAGGTGGAAGCACCGCTTAGGCAGTTTAACCATGAAGTGGCTAAGTTAAGTAGAGGTGTCCAAGAGATGCAAAAAGATTTAACACTGAGGCGATGCATTATCGATAAGGATTTCTTGCAACAACTCATTCATAAGTTAGTTAGTTGCTCACCAAAGCAATCAAAATATAGTTCGTAGTCAGAGAAAGATGTTTAGGTTTTTAATAATTGGATCTGAAAGCAATGATACGTCGCAAGAGAATAAAGATATGCTATTGAAATGATACAGATCGTTGTTGAGAAGTCACAGTATCTGAATGAGTATTTCTTTTTTTTTTGGAGATGTGTTGATTTGGACACGAAAGTGGGACGGCAATCGGCGCTGATCAACGATCTACAGCCTCAGCTGCAACAGATATGGCAAGAGCAACTGGACCGAGTGCGGAGGCAGCAGATTCTTTTCAGAGAGAAGGTTATTAATGCTTTGTCAGATGCTACTCGCCGGTGAATGTAATAGTGTTTGGGAGGAATTGCGTTCAGATGATCGAACAACATCTGAAAATAAGTTTTTTGCACCAGGTTGAGGAAATGATTCACTTACGTGAGAACGCACGTCACGTCTCAAGTGCAGCACATCAGCTGGAACCGTTCGCCGTCTGTTTGGCTGCGGTGAGTTCAGTGATCGATAGACGTCGATGCTACCGTCCTGATCCGGCACCAATGGAGAGTCTGTGCCTTCAGATCAACACCATCGAACCGGACAGTCAACATCGTATTCAGGCAATCGAAAAGGTTAATCCGATTTGTTTGGCTGTACTTACATAGCTGCGGATATACTCTTAGTAATTGAATTTATACAAAGAATACGTTAACGATACGTTGGTAGGAGTGAATAATTGCGAAAGTATACGTATTTGAGCGAATTATTTGATTAGAACATTATGTTGTTGATAAGTATTCGTCGGCAGAATTCATCGATTATGTTGGCATAACCTTAAATAAAGACCGTGAGATTTGTATCGCTTATAAAACTTTTCTAATTTCAGGAAGAGCAAAATCGTCGTTTAGCGCAAACACAAAAGAAACGTGAAGAACAGTTGAAATTCGCATCAGTCAAAAAGCAGCTGAAGACAACGAAAGAGCAAAAAATGTTGACGAGAGATCCACTGAGGCATAGGTGAGTCTTTTTATTCGGTGGATTATACGGTTATTATTCACATTATTTGCAGTCAAGATGTTTCTGCATTCGATGAAAGGAAACTGCACATATAAGACTAAAGTATTGTGAGCAGTACTCAATTCTGAATTCAAAAATCGATTGTTTTCAGTGCCACAAAAATTCGTTTCGTCAATACAAATCGTGATCGAAGTCGTGGAGGCACCGATCGTGCACTTCTCTTACCGTGCAATCGCCCGCATAAGGGGTAAAGATTCTCACGAAAATCATCATTCCCGTTCTGTATTCATAGCCAAAAACTTAAAATTGTGTGAAAACCCGAAATGAACTCCATTAGAAAGCGAATTTATCACCAAACAGTGAAAATCCCAAACGATATCACCAGTAAAGCGCTCACAACATTTGCTGCTTTATCCCACCAATAATGGGCGTATGTCGCAAAATGAAAACCTTACAGGCACGCTGCCGGCTTAAGATGTTCGAAGAGCCAATCGGATCCAGAAGATGTTGAAAGTTCAATGGACGATTCGTTTGAGTTCATTGCTGAATCGCATAGCGCTGAAGCGGAGACGACAAAATTTGAATGTGAGGTGAGTGTGGTGAGAATTTCGTTTTTGAAATTTTGAGTTGCACTGAAATTTACGATTGATGTTCAGTGAGAACGGAATGTTCTTTTTGTTGTCACGAATAATGAATTACTGGAATTTGCCAATTTTACAGCATACACTGTGTCGTTCACAGCCGTTACGTCTCTCAACTCCAGTTCCAATGGTTTCAAAACCAATCCATTCGAATCAACCGACGAGTAGCTCACTACCTGATGATGAGCAGCTCTCAAAGCGCATTTCAGACCTTCACCTAAGCAGTGGTTTGTCCTTCGAACTTTTTCAGTGTCTCACATATTCTAAGTTCTAAACCAAAGAGAAGTCGTAGAATGATCAAGCAGCTAAATTGGAATAACTTTGATCTATATCGTTGAACAAACTAAATTTTTCTTGAAACGAGGCAGACCGCTCTAATTCTCATCACTCATGAAAATTTTGTTTGCTTTCATTATGATTTTTCGTCAAGAAGATCAAGATGCCTTCTTACACGAGTGGGAAAGGGAAACTTTGACTTTTTGCTCCTTCAGAAGGTATACTCGATGATCGCTTTCAATAAATGATAGCATTTTGTTGAATGTACTCAATTTAGCGGCCACATGTCGTCGGTGTCAGAAGGACGGTGGTTGTGGTGAACCGAGAGGAGCGCCAGTGATCCCACGAGTACCGTTCGTTCCAACGACTATATTCGCGAACTTTGCCAACAAGTCGCCCGGTACTTGGGAAGCGCGTGAGAAACTCTTCGAGAGTATCAAACGGAAGGTGCCACGAGTGGACGTTGGTGCCACAAAAACACCTGAACGTGAAATTGTTGACGAACAAGACGACTAACCAATAGATAGGGTTTCAGCTTTGACCAATAGATAGGGTTTCAGCTTTGACCAATAGATGTGGTCGTAGCTTTGGCAGTTATGAGCGTTCCACTTCCGGGATTTCCATTATTCCGACCGATTTTTCTTTCGGCAATTCCGGTTCCAGTGTTTAATTGCGGTCAAACCGGATGAAAAATATACCAAGCTGATAAACATCAAACATTCTCTGCACACATTATATACATGTATTATACAAATGACTTCGTGCATGTTCGCTCGCCGTGCACACCACCTATTTCGGTTTCAGTTTTCCGGTATCCGCGGTTATCTCGTGCCTGTTTCGGTTCATCTCGGCTCCGGTGATCTTTTTCTAGTATAAATTCGGACGAATTTTCAGCTCCGGTCCCATTCGTGATGGGTAACCATTTATGGAAAGTGAGAAAGGAATGAATGACTTACAATCAAAAGAATTTGATTGCTTTCAACTTTGAGGATTCATGATGATGACTTTGAATTTGAGATCCATGAATAACCTTACTGCTAGATGAATTTAATGTGAGCGTTAACATCTGCTCTAAAGAATAAGGTGAATTTTTAAAGGGCAGTATTGGAATTTGATGAACCAATTCGTTGAAAAAAGACAGATGAATGATGCTCACTGCAGGTTGCACATGTCTGGTCTGTATGGAACTGTTGATCAATTTATCGGATATCCATGAATGAAAGTTGCTGAAATCATCTACAGAGACTCATTACTCAACGTTTGTTGACATTTAAAAAATTCAACTTTCAAATTGAGTGCATTTCGAGTGTACAAGAATTACCTTTGTTTTTCATATTTTTCTCGATTTGTTAACTTCCACTGTTGAATCCCTGTATGAAATTATAGAATCTTACTAATAAGCACACAATGTTTGAATCCAAAAATTTGATTTTTCACGATGAATGCTTATGTTGTATGAAACTGATAACGTGCTTTATGTATTTATTTTGTTCAAGTGCTTTAATCGTCTTTGAAGTGTTTGTGCCTTAGTCTCATCTAGTGCTTTAATGAGTTAATTTCGATAGATTAAGATGTGCTCACAAGATTTCGACTCAGAGCTATAATTTGATTTGTAATTTGCATTTAATATTGTTCATTGTATTAGTTCACTACAATCGTATTCGATTTTGCTCATTTCATGTTATACTTTTTATAAGCAAGGAATAAACGCTGCATTTTGAAGTATTTTTTACAACAATTGAGCAATTGAATTGTTAAAGGTAAGTTTACTTGTTACAAAAAGTTCACGCAGTGCAATATTGCAATGAGGAAAAAACGATAGGGGGCACCCGGATTTGAACCGGGGACCTCTCGATCTGCAGTCGAATGCTCTGCCACTGAGCTATACCCCCAACAACTCAGGCGATTGTCAGCCTATTGACAATATAACAGTTCACTTTGATATGTATTACCAATATTACGGTATCGTAATTTATTTATGACTTATTTATCTTTGAAAGCATAAACATCATACACTCCAATGAAAAAATGTTTTGATGTGAGGAATACTCAAAGTTGATCGTTGAAAATCAACGAATCACTGAGAGTTGATTGAGAATTTAAAACCTTTTTGCCACATTATCACACAAAATATCTGCAAATTATCTCACGATCAGTCAATTTAACTCCATTTCTCGCTCCTCTACTTTCTGCAGATCCCTCAGAAATGTGCTGTTGAGAGTGAATCTAATTTTGGATAACGCACTGAACAATGTCTTCCATTCAAAATTTGAAAAACTATGGCCCGAGTAAACAGAATCGAACAAGCATTTGTGGATTTAAATTTACAATTCGCCCAATTTATTTGCTAGTAATCATTGTTAACCATTCATTTAGAGATATGCTCTCAACCGGTTCTTTTTTAGAAAGTACCGAATACTGGAGTGACTGCCATTGAAATGTATCATCATTAGTCAACATCATTTCTTTAATCTTTCGAATAGACTTCGCAAGTACTTTGCATGAGTAAACATCGCATTGGATGTATATAAATGAACCATAAGGATCGCTCATCACAGTTCGGTGTCCAGTTACTCTTTTTGAACATCGCTTTTTGTCGACCAATTTTTTGAGCGTTTAAGGTCTCTTTGATAGCAACCATCATATCACTCTTTCCTAGTTTCATTAATCTCACCACAACATAATTTTCGTTTGGTTTCTCATTTTGGTTGCCATATAGTTCTTACTGAGGGTATTACATCGGTTTCACTGATGTTTCGAATGCGACTGAGTAACTTGGAATGTCAGTTAATAAATCGAAAAAGCGAAACTGAGAAATGAAGGATGAACTGTAGCCCGCATTCAGTGGTTTCTCGCTTTGGCTGCAGTTCGGTATCGACGTAACTGTTCACGTTGAGGCGATTTGCGCGGAAACGTTGGACTTTTTTGATAACTTCATTGCACTGCTGCTTGATATCAGTAACTCAAATTTTTTGCAGTTTCCAGAGTTTGATCATTGTTGCACAACTTTACTCGAAAATGACCGCTTTTAGTTCACTCTCTACTGCTGTATTACTGTTCGTCGGTAAGTTTGAGTTGTTCACGATCATTCCCTCTTTTTTTGAAATTTAAATCGCAACGTATTTGGCGTAAATTGAGGCTAAAACAATGCGCACGGAAACGCGAGCATTGTAGCCAGCAACGTTATAAACATTTGATAACCTGGCCAATCCATGTAAATGGCAACATCTCGTGAATGAACTGCTATCTCAAACAACTGAAAATGATTGTATTTCAATAGCGATACTGATTGAATGCGTGAGGAAGTGTGTTTGATGTGATCGAATTTGTTTAGGAGCAGTAGTAGGTCAGGAATGTCCGAGAGGGATGCAATCGTTGGCGAATGGTCATTATTGTATAAACGATCGAGGATGTGAAATGCAAGGAACTGGATTCAAATGTTTCTCTGGCACTTGCTGTATCAAAAGCCATACAGGTTCACCGAATTTCTCTTCAAATATCAGCACTTTCAGTCGGTTCTATCCAGTTCGGCGTAACTAAAAGAGCCAGAATGAAAAAACTGTTCCACTAGTGAAGATTCGAACGCTTGCAGAGGGTCCTTACCCAATATGCAGAGGTGCTGATGAAGAAGCTGAGATGAAGAACGGCTTGGCAAAGAATTGTCTCGAAGAATCATGTTCAGACGGTTATCAGTGTGAATACAGTCACACCTACAATAACGGACAGTTCGTTTGTTGCGGTAGACCGCCACTAGTTCCTGTAATACCACCGTCTCAATACGGTAACTTGTCGGCGAGTTCTTTTTGTGCGATAACAATTTTCTAAACGAAACTAGTGATTCAATTGTTTTACAGTCAGCTCATGCCTAATGCAGTCAGTCAGTGACACAATCCAACTTCACAATGGAAGTGAACCTCGTGAAGTATCACTGAAATTGAGAAAAAGAATCAAATTTTGCCACAAAACAAATGTTATCATTCACGTTTGAAAACCCGATCAACGCCTGTCACGCTCAGTGATGATTCAATGATTCATCACAAAAATTTTTGTGTGTAATTTCAGGTGTCGTGAAGATCAATCCACACACTGGTGGACCGTTACCGTGCATTGCGGGAAACAGTTGCAGAAAATTTCCTGACACGCCGAATTGTGTTTACTCGAATCGGTTCGAGTTTAAAGTGTGCTGTTCCACGTCGTATTGTTGAAATGTTATTGCGTTTGTTTGTGAATCACTGGTCAATCGCCATGTTAAATAATGAAAATCACATTCATTCATTCCTTTGAGATTGTCATCGTCATTCGTTCAAGAAAAATGTTCGAAAGTTTATCGAAAATCTATATGATACAAGAATTTTACTTATCATCATTTCAGTTCTTTCACAAAGCAAATTCCGAAATTTTTTCGCGAACCAAGCGATAAAATATGATTTTCAATTCTTCGTACGAGAAACTGAGAGATAAAAGAAACCAAGTGATTTTTTCGTAAGTAGCAATTGTCTGCAGTAATTGAGAGATCAAAATCAATGAGCACTCGGAAGATCGAGCAAAAGGGACACTACGGTTGAATCAACATATCTCTGCTAGGTAAACATACTGTTCGAAAATTTACTCACGATCAATGAGTCATTGGATGACGTTTTATCGTGAGAAATCGGTGTTCCTTTCAAGTGATGCAAAATCTAGACAATGGGGCATTTGAGATGAATTTTCATTGATTGTGCTACTGTTGAAATGCTCTTCACATTTGTTTCATTTTCACTACAAGTCAAACGTTCTCGTATATTTGTTGACTGAAGAATAAAGTTTTTCAAATGAAAAAATGACTGCTATCGATTTCACTGTAGACAACAAACATTCGACGGCAAACGCTTCTCGTTTTTCACTCTCAGCAAGTGCTTGAAACGATGAACGGCGGCCGTAACGGCACCCAGATTACGTATATCAAAACAGACATCTTCTTGTAGCTCAATAAACTGAAAAATTTTCAATGATTTGCCATTAGCAGTGCTTTAACCTAAGAGTAAGTCCCTTTCACGAAGCCTTACCTTTGAGGCTTGGCGAATGAGGGGCCATGAGTCATCATTTAAAAATTGAGTCATTCGCCCATATTTGTGGACTGAATGACTGGACCATGTAGACATTGACTGAACTATCTGATACTAACGATCTGATAGCTGATGAATCATTGACAAGTATCTCACAAAGATGGTATGGTAAGAGTTTAAAAAATTTTCAGACACCCTCTTCAGTTATTTGACTTTTCGACTAAGCCATTCAAAAAGATTTCCTGAGAGATGTTCAGATGTTAAGATTAAATTATCATTTCGAGCTTTCTCGATAAGAGCTTTCAACGATCCCTCTTTGGATTATTATATTTTATGCGCTAGAGACCTCATGAATTTCCATGCGTATGATCTAAACGCTTGCTTTGAATGAGCAACTATAAGTTCAATCATTCACCGGAATTTTCAAATATTCGGCCAGATATCGTCTACTCGGTAACTGTGCCACAACTTGGAGCATATCACGTTTTTCAGTTTTTTCATCAAATAAAATCGTCGTGAGTAGAGAGCCGTCTTGACCGCCTGAAAAGAGCAAATGATTTTTGAAGATCAGAAAATCTTTTCAGCTTAACTCACGAACAATTCATCCACATTGAGCGAATTCTCGTTGTTAGTATGGTTCAGATGAGACCAAGAAAATGTTAATTAGAATACACAATCAGTTACTCAATAATGCACCACGTTTTTGGATGAGGAATAGAATTTATAATTTCCTCTCGTTATCATAAGAATTATTTATGTACTTAAGGAAGTGATCATAAGATGAAATTGGTTCAGAATTCATCAAACTGACGATATTGTACTTCAACTGAAGCACATTTCAGTGGAGCTAAGCACTTGAGTTAAGCCCAAACCCGAACGTCAACTTTAACTTAAGCCCAGCCAGGCACAGCCTAATTGCTATTTTGTACTCAATTAAAGTGTGTTTCAGCTGAAACGAGATATCACTGTTGAATTTGCTAGAAAAGAAATTTTTTTATTCATCGTCCATTAGTGATGACTTTTTAAAATCACTCATTGAACAATGGACTGACTGGCTGTCGACTTCTCATCTAGTGTTGGGTCGTAACCACTGACGGTCGATGACCACCGAAAATCGGTCGGTAATCACCGACGGTTTTGCGGTGGTCCCCGGCCGTCGGTGAATACCGAGTTGCGGGGATTACCGACCCGTCGGTGACCACCGATCGCAACCTACAGAGCGTGCTCGGCTGGTGACGGTGGTAAACCGCCCAACGGTTACAACCGATCAGCAACCAACTGATGCTCAAAATTATGCGGTCGGTGAATACCGAGTTGCGGTGATCACCGACAGAACTCTCGGCCGGTGTCCACCGAGAAAAATCTTGCGGTTCCCAACACTATTTTCATCAGCACAATCTATCTCGACTGAATGAGCTCAACAAACCGATCACGAGAGAATATCCTCTCAGATCGCACGCCCAACTGGTGATACGTGCATGCGGTCGGAATGTACCGACCAAGCTGCCATCGCTAACACGAAATGCTCTCAGCGTTCGATGACCGCTGTGATAATAGAGCACATGCTGTCCGGTTAGCGTGAACTCAGCTTTGACATCGTTTACACCCTCCACAACATTACCAATTAACGTTCTCATTATGCTGCCGGTTCTCATATCGATTATCTGAAATGTGCACTTTCAATTGCATATTTTCGAGTACGATGCAATTTTCGTTTATCAAAGATCTAGACTCACGAAAAGTCCGCCGCGATTCGGAGCATGAAGACCAAGTTTGCCATCGCTGGTCACTACACCGTTAAATGTTGGCAGAATACGGACGAGTTTAACGAGTTTAATGTCCCAAATTGCACCTTTTGAAGCGCTCTCCATAACGATCACTCGTGAACTGCTATTTGGCATTGCAACCAACTGACGAACGATCACGTCCTTCTGTTGTCTTGAACGAGGTCTTAAGTATACAAGCGATGAATATATTTTATTAAATCTTTCTTACTTCTTCATTCTAGATGATATATTTTTTCGAAGAAACCAAGGCAAATTATGTCAATCAATTCCATTCAAAACATTTCTCAGAATCTTTCAAATAGCAACGGGCGAGGACGTGATTCAAATGAATTTGCACCTGAATTTGTGCATGACTCTTTTCTCTTCAAGATTTACCACCAGTAAGCGATCATGACCGTGGAATAAAACGACGAGCACAGTTGTAACACCATCCTGAAAGCAATCACCGATTTTTGGTTGAATTAAAGGGCTTTTGGAATGCTAGATGCATTTCTTATTCCTGGCTCACAAATAGAAAAGATTATCATTCACCAAAAGCATCAAGAATGATTTCAACAAACGGGAGATAAGAGAGCAAATGTATTCCTCAAATGTAGGATTGCATCATATTGCTGACGAAAATGTAAGATGGAAATAATGCGTACTCGTTGAACGACAATATCAATGAACATTCGACATTGAAATTCATGCGAATAGTAGATACTGAGATCATCAATTGAATAAACTGTGAAACGAGCCACCTTCTGCTCAGGCGTGTCCACTTGACGAAATAAGACACCTCAACGAAACTGCATTACATTTACAACTATTTGAGTGATCATTAAGACGATGAGATGACATCCAGAACGGTATCATGTGTGCTACATTCGATCTACCTGTGTGCTCAGATTTGATCA